GCCTTGTGTGTTTGACCGCCCCCCGAGCTGCCCCGGCCGCCGCCGCCGCCTCGCCTGCACTCACGGCGGGAGGCAGCGCCACCCTGTCCAAGAAGAGGCCGCCGCCCCCGCCGCCCAGCCACAAACGCACCCTGTCCGACCCGCCCGGCCCGCTCTGTCACATCAGAGGGGGCCTGTCCGGGGAGGAGACACAAGCACACGGTATCCAGTCGGACCTCACATTAACACCGTGCCCGAACAAATACGCTTTGTTCCCCGCTCGCGACATAGAACACCTCAAATTGGCTTTTTCTCTTGAAATGAATGGAAACGACAAAAAAAAAAAAAAGAGCTCCCCATAGGACTGCGCTTTGTAAAAACAGACAGTAATAACAACAATTGTCCATCTGTACAGTATTTTCAGAATTTGTCATTCTATCGATGAATTGATTGTGTGTTAAAAACAAAACACGGCGCAGCACCCACTCAAAGTAGAATGTCAAAATGATAATGCTGACGACACCAGACTGTGGAACGTGAGCGGCCGCTATAGCGCCCATTAAGCGTCTCGGGCGCACGGAAAGCTCAGCCAGATGACCACTCCCCTCTCCCTCCATCCCATGATTCTATTTTGTCATCCCAGCACCTTGAGCGCTTTGAAGTTTGTGTGAGCCGAAGAGCAACCGTGCGGCGTGCGTAACGTGTGTGTCGTGTGTTTGTGGCCGCGCTTGGCGACGCTTTAGGAAGCGACTCCACGCCGCCTCCCGTCAACAAGATGTCACCCGTCTCCAACAAGTTTGAAGGCATCCCTCAGCAGCAGAGGTAAGACGGGCCCTCTCAGGATTACGGACGCCCTCCAGAAAAGTTCGCCTTTTCAAATCGATTGTTGGGTCAAATGAGAGTTTGAAGACAATCAAAGAGACTCAAGTCAGAGTTAAGGTTTGAAAACCGGTTGTAAGACTTGGCTTCAGAGTTAATGTTTCCTATGTGGGTTGGGTTGCTAACGAGGGTTAGGGCATCAAGCTGAGTGTTTGGGTTTCAAATTTGGGTTTGGTGTACCTAATTAAATGTCCAATGTGTGAGGGTTGCTGATTCTTTGACTGTCATTTTTCCAAAAAACAACGACAACAAAATCCTTGCAGTACGACTTCGAGCAACACAAAGTCCACACTTGGTCCAAGGGTTCTTCCCAAACTACCTCAGAAAGGTGTGCTTTATATTTATCATTATTATTACAGTTATATTCTAATTACTAGCAGGTGTATTATTGAGCATGCGTTTGTTTCCAGTGGCGTTGCGTAAGATCGAAACCATCCACCACCCCTCCTTGGACAAAGCAGGCCTCCCCCCCGAGGTCTTCCAGAAGTCCCCGCCGGGGACGGACACCCCACAAAAGGCTGCGGCCCCAGAGCGGCCGCAGCCTG